ATACATATATTCAATTTGGGATCATAACGCGTATTTGCGTGTTTGACGCAAATTCTTATCACTCTCTCGAAGAGGCTTATGATGAGAAATATGATATCTTCTAGATTTTTCCCAATCGAACTGACGTCACAATTCATATATTCGAAGCGCGTTTGCGGTTTAATTAGTAATTGAATAAAAAAGACACATAACTGCATTTCGATGACACTTCAACTGCATTTCAATGACTTTTTCACCAGCGAATATACCACGATATTAGCAGCATTTTGAAGTGACTGATTTTAATGTTGAATTGATGATCGTAATGTGATCTGACACTAAATAGATTCTCGAACGATTAACTTTATTAAAAGCTATCACTATCAAATTAAACAAATTATCGTACTATTCTTCATGCAAATAGATCCATTGTCTATATCTGTCATTTCTTTTGTAATATTTTCTCTTTCTCTTATTCAGGCAGATATACATATAATTTGTATGTGTAAATATGCTATAAATATGCTCTTTATTAAAGCAAATAAAGATTGATTATGCGTTGTTATAAAATAAATAAGCAAGCGGTTCCGCATTCATAAAAAAAATATTTAAAATAACTTTTTTGATTCAATATATTTGTAACGTTAATATTAATTGAATAAAAATTTCAATAGAACTATATAATACAGAAGATATTTTCCTTGTATGTACTGTAAACTTTATATTATATTCCGTTCTGCAAGTTTTTTCCGCGAAGTAAGATCAGCGGTATAAATCAGGCCTTCTCAGGTTTTCCAATTCCAGGTCAACTTTGTTAGTAGAAGTATTAGTAGAAATTTTTTATTATTTTATACAATTTTATTCTTCAAGAAATGTAATATTAGTAACGAACAATGACAAAAGTTTTCTATTCTAACAATTCGAATTTTATTATACAATATATATGCGTATATGTTTTTTATATTTGTTAATAAAGAAGTTGTTCAATATTACATTTCACATTTAATTATATAGAGAGTAATCTGTATAACGCAAAACCTATTTGCGTTCTTTTTCAAGTTTTCATGGGGACTCTCATTTATTCATACGCGAGAGAACTGAGTGGACCGAAATTCTGTAAATTTAAAACATGTATTTTTTTCCCCTGCGTGAAATTAAAGAAAGAGCGTTGTCGTTTTTGTCAGCGACATAAGTTACAAAGGCAAAGACTCCGCGTGATATTGTTCCATATCGTTTTTCCTCGGCGGATGTTATCAGAATTACTAACTAGATCGCATGCGTGCGCCGCGAGATAAAACGCGATCGTGCGCTCGAAAGAAAGGCTTCATTTTTAATTAACTAAAATAGAAGTTCGCACAGTAACTCAGAGCTTTTATGTAATAATGACGTGCGGCAACGCTACAATTTGCCTGCACACGCGAAAGCATAACACGTTATTAATATTACTGACCGTTATTAGTCGGAAAGGTGGCATTAAGTTGACCTAAATAACATCCGCAAATTGATGCTGGCATTCTTGTTATGGAATTATATCTTTAATGAAAATGAACTATGAGCTGTGATTTCTGTGTTTTCGATTGCAGTGTGCAGAACGTTCCTCATATTGTCCAAAATTTTCACGCATTTCAAGAATTATTTGTCGTACAATTACTTTACGTACACACTAAAAAACAATCTGTACTTGCGTTAAAAATTCTTGTTAAAATTTTTATACAGAATTTTTAATCAAATTTTAATGTTAATTTAACTGTATATTAACTGTTAATTTTACTGTTAATGTTAATATAATTATATTATTATTCTGCGAAAATAATGTAATTTAAAATTCTATAAGACAAATAAATAAAAGATAATCATATGTGTGTAATTTTACTGAAAAAATGTATTTCCACGATTTATTCTCAAATTGTGTCGAAATGTTAAACTTTTTATGTTAATTTTTACTAATGTTTCATAATGTTTTCGTTTATGTTACTTTCTAATATCTTGTTTCATAATGTTTTCGTTTATGTTACTTTCTAATATCTTGTTAACTTTAAGTTAACACAAAAATTTGAATACATTGTGTCACAGGACATAAAATGTTAAAATATTAAAATTAAATTTATCATAAATTTTCCAACTGCGTAAGTAAATAATTAAATTACGCGTAAAAATCACATATAACAATCACAGGTAAAATCAACCAATCTAGTTATTTAATTATTAAATAATTAAATTAAAGTAAGTAATTTCTCAATTAATAACATTTATATTAATATTAATAAATGTAACTATAACTTCTTTTGAAATTGCATTTTAACATATACAAAGAACATTACTCTCGTAAATTTGACGTGTGATAATGATATCTATTGTATCGACGACGTAAAGTAATGAGCATAATTCTGTTTGAATACAGAGGCGCAGCGCTTGCAGCAAAATTCTGTGATATTCTACAAGAATATACGAGTATATCCGTGCGCGCAGATACGTGAAAAATACGACCGAACCGAAATGAAGGAAATTCATAACAAAGATGCCTTTATTTTTTCATGATTCGTATAATTAAACCAGAATGAATCAGAGCGAAAAGTGTGCGAAAGATGGAGCAGAAATTATTCTGGTTAAGATAAATTGCTTCTTTTTTCATAAGAAAATATAATTGAAGAGAAAAGATGTTTTGATAATACTTATACCAACTATCTCTAGTATTCTTTGATTTAATGTCTTGCATTTTAATCACCGTCTCCATTTCTTTGTTTCATCTTTGTTACGAAATTAATTTATTACCGCGAGAATAAAATAATATAAGATATTATATATGTATGTTTTGATACTTATATACCTTTGAAAATTGATTAAATTAAAAGCAGGGCAGTGAGAAAATTATTATCCGAGAAAATGCAATACTTAATCGCATCTAAATCATTATTTAAATATAGATGAATCTAATTTTCTACATAATTAATGATTAGACTTGACTATATCTGTATTATTATTAATATATTATTATTAATTGTATCATTGCATAGATAAGTCTAACCGTGGGAAATGTAAAAATCGCACATAACGGTCACAGATAAACTGAACAAATCTAGTTATTTAAGTCGAATTATAAGCACTGAGTGAAATTTCGCATAACATTACGATTATTGATACGAGATGACGTACAAAAATTTACATCGTTTTATCTCTAAGACTGTGCACCTACTCGAAATTTTCAAGACAGTTCTAACGGCACATGCGTAACGGGATCTATTTTATATTTTAGCATCAACAAGGTCCAAGGTACTTAAAAATTTATTATACTGGACGAAGGTCTATTTCGAATTCATGCCACGGTAGAAATGAAGAAACGCATAATCGCGTCTACCTACCTCACGTTATCCGTTATCACTAGAAGGTCCACTGAAATAACCGTCCCCTAATCCAACAACTTTCACGCAACGCGAAAATTGTCAACTCGAATTACGGTTACGCGCTGATAATGATCTTAAAGCTGTATACACATGTATCTTTGACAAATTTTCTCCCCTCTTTAACGTTCACAAGACGAACTTGGGCGCATTTCAGTGCCAGAGAAATTTAACTTACACAAACGATTAGCGTGAGATTTTAGACGATTTTAGACTGTTGAAATAAATATAAAAATTGAAATATCCATTAAATCGGCTTCTAATCGAATTAGTAATTATTTTAGACGAGGCACATTCTTGGCACGCACATTTAATATTAATGTGATATTTTACTAACATGATTTTAAGTTTGTTAACAAGAACAGTAAAAGTCTAGAAATAAGATGTTTAATTACTGCTAAATATATAAAGAAGATATGGATACGGTAACGCTAAGGGATAATAAAGTAATGAATGAATAATGTAGAAAATTATAAAGATAACTCCTTACATATAACATTTTTAAATATGTATGGAAATTATCGATAAATTAAAAATGTCCCTTTATCCAAGATGGATCTCCGCGATTTATCAAAAAGCAATTTCAAGTTCATTACTCGTTACTTACAATGTATGGAGTGGACTATCACTTCAAATACGATAGATTCCTTAGGGAACATGAAATCGATATTCCTCTGGTGAAAATTTGATGAGAGATACTTAATTACAGAGATACTTAACGTCATGAATTAAAAGACTTAGGCAAATTAAGTTTCCAAAATATAAAGAGTTAACATCCTAATTTCTCAGTTAATTTCACTCGTATTTCCCTTCAACACAACTTGGCGCAGGTTTTAGTTACTCCCAGATATTGGGAGGGAGAGAGAGAGAGAGAGAGAGAGGATTTGTGTGTGTCAGCAATTAAAAGGTTGCGACAAATTACGAATTCCTTCGAAATCTCCGTTGGAGAACAAATTGCGTGGTCGTGTAATCGAATGTGTTTCTCCGATAATAGATCGAGTCATGTTACAAATAGCGAAAAGTTAGTCGGTTTAAATTGGGGATTGATCTAGAACGCGAAACAAGATCGTACGATTTCGCTCAGTTCAATCTTCCGGATGTCGAGAAACGTACCGGTTTTTTAATGGATGTAATTACTTCTTCGTATCTACAATATTAAAACTCAAAATTTTATCGCAAATTTATCAGTTTCCTCAATTTATCAGTCTCTCTCTCTCTCTCTCTCTCTCTCTCTCTCTCTCTCAACCCCGCACTTAATTCTCACGAAGATTGCTGAACGCGCACTATGTCGCGTTTAAATCTCCGGTTCTGATATTGGCGAGTCTTTCGCGTGCCTTCACGTAGAAAGGAATGCGATTAATCGGAGCAATTCTCAATTAATTGGAGCCTCTGCCCTCGTCGACGACCGGCGGCGGCGGATATCGCGTTGCGTGAAAGTGAAACACACAGAACTCACGTAACGTGAAAAAGGGGGACAAAGGGTTCCGAGAGGCCGTCCCTCAGGAACCGCAAACGGAACCGAGAATCGGGAAAAGGACCGGGGAGTTTCGGATATTCCCTCCCTTTTCTCCTCTCCGATCCTTTACTCCTTTCACATCAAGCGCAAACACTTTATCTACTCACTTTTGTCGCAGCGCAACACTTTCCACTTGCGATTTCCTCGTGCGTAGGCGGACTCTCGCGCTCTCCGTTGTTGTTTATACTGCGTGCGGGCGAGTAAAAGTTGCGACGGACGCGCGACAATCCGGTGGTGAGGGATGAGGAATGTACGGAACGTGAAGAGATACGGATGTAGAGAGATCGAAACACGGGGAAAGGAAAAGATACAGAGACACGGATGCGGGATAGATACCGGAGGGGGACGGTAAGGAGAGGACGAGTACACACGTCTCGCGTGGATCTCACCCTCGCCGGGACACCGGACGTGGACGTTCGGAGGGAGGGGGAGGTGGCGACGGCGACGGCGACGGCGACGGCGGTGGTTTTACGCGCGTTTCACAGAGTCCAGAGACGTAACTATACGACGGTGTGCGAACGCGACGGCGGTCGGGACGATACTGCGCCCTATTGGACGGCCCTGCGCAAATATAATGGCGCCCCTCTCCTGCGGTACGTCCACCCCAACCTCGACGTCGGCGTCGGTGCCACACCGCTAACCCCCCTCGCGATCTACCGTATGCGTCCCACCCTCGTCGGGACTGGTCCGCCGGTCGCCTCTTCTTCCTATCCTTTTATCTTCCGCCCTCCGTTGCTCTCGGCCATCCTCCGCGACAGCCACCCTTTAACTTCCCCCTCCCTCTTCTCCCCCTCGGCACCCCCTCGCGGCAACTCTCCTCGTCCCCCTTCTTCTTCCTCACGCCCGACCTGTTCTTCCCGCTCTTCCTCGTCCGCGTCCTCGTCTTTTTCTCTCGCCACTGGTCACCGCTGCACGTACCCTCGCGGGGGAGCCCCCGAGGGCTCTCTTTTACGACAACAACACACGAGCGCAACGCGGTGAGCTTCCGGTGCGCATCGATAACCATTTCCGTTCGCGCTCGAACAGCTCGGCTCGGCTCAACGCCACGCGGAAAACTCTTTTCTCTAGCTTCCCGGGGAGAAGAACGAGAGGGACCCCCCCCCCCTCCCTCCGCTTCCTCGCGTGTGCCCCGCGGGATAAACACCGGGGTTAATCGCGTGCGGTCGGAGTTACGCTCGCGAGCGCACGGGAACGCTCGCTCGAGATACGCGCGCGCTCATTAACCCTCCTCGGCATTTTTGCCGGATGAACGGATTTTAATTGCATGACTGGCTTATATATACATATATATATATATACGGGAACGCTCGGAATAGCCGATGCGCGCGCGAATCCTTTGGCTTTGCGCCGCCGTCCGAGTTGGGAACGACGTCCTGAAAATTGCCAGCGTGTATTTAAGGACACTCGTCGGGGCGGCGATATAGTTATATATTTCAAGGATTTCTCATCGAGCGACAGGAGCATATTTTAAGGCGTCCTCAGCGAGCGACCGCGAGGTTTGCTCCACTCATGTCCTAGTTACAACTTTATTACATATATATTCGCTCACCTTTACGCGCACTACTTGATTTTCTACCTGTTTAACCGCACAGAGAGATTTGTACACTGGTGAAGAGTTTTTTTTTTCTACTGTTGTATACGAATAATGCGTTAATTTGTGCTTTTCATTAAATATAAAGCGGCAAATATAACAAAACGTTAAAATGTAATCTGCTCTGGTAATTTTGATATATAGAAGCTGCGCTTAATGCGGGTACACTCGAAACATGCGATTTAGATTCATCCGCTAATATAAAACACAAAATACATATTCTAGCTAGCGCACAGAGGTAAACCAGTTTTTGCGCAATTGGCATAGCAAAAATTATAATCTAGCTCGAAGATTCCGTATAGCCTTGTTGTTTACCGCAAAGGGGTTAATATGATAAAGGACTCGATTTTTCCCGACATTTTTCCATCGCTAAAATTGGTCTAAAGTTCATAAGAGCATGAGATTTGTAGCCCCTTTAAAAGAGCTCGTCCTCTCGGGGTTTGCTTTCGGTCTGGCGTTAACGTTATTCGCGCTATATCGCGCAAATAAAATGCAAAGAGAATGTAAAAAGATTAATAAAGAGTGATGTACGTGAAATGCTACGCCGAGCATAATATAATCAACACGTTACATTTGGCTCTTTTTAATTCCCGCATGTTACCGGTCAGCTGCAAAATACAGTTACATGTAATTTTATTATTTAATGTAACAGGAACTTCCTCTCAGGATGGGTGATAAATCACACATTTCGCTTGATAATCATATAGAATTACATATATAATCAAGCTTGTTCCGCCATGCGGACGTGAGCCGGATAGATAAAATTTTTACATATACTTACCTTTGGCTCACGATTATTTCTACATGGCACACACAATTTTAGATTCCTCTTTCCGTAGAATCGTGAAATAGTACTGCAGCAGCGCTTTCAACAATGCAACTCTACAGTAAATATTTTACAAATTCTTTTGCTTCTGCAGGTAAACCCAACTTCGGACGATCTATAATTCGCAGACTTCAGGGTAGAATTCAATTGATAATTTTACACGTCGTGTGTTTGATATACATTTTATACGTGTCTATTCCGAGTCATCGCCCAAATGCTTTTTTATATTGCACACCGCTATAAAACTGCAAATAGGATTACACGTTGAATTATGACGCGATTTATAAATCCTCGTCTAAAGCGGATTTAAGAATCCATGTATCCTTTATGGCGCTGTTTCAATTCAATTCCCATGTTTAGCGGCCCAATCGCGCAAGTGAAATTCTGAGAACGAGTCATTTTGTAAACGACTCGGGAATAATGCGCGCACATCATTTTTATTTCGAGAATTCCCGTTACAACCAAATAAGCCGGCGTCGTATCTGGCTTTTATCACAATGCACGATCCGCGTGTCTTTTCGATAGGAGAATGCCTTTGATCGCGTGAATCCCCGGGATCCCCCGGGCAGGGACAGGCCGAGAAATATCACGGAAGTAATCTGCTTTGAGCGCGGCGACGAAAATGTTTATCATACTCCACCGCTGATCTCGCTACGGCGCGCACAAATAATAAAGCTTATCGACCCGCTGGGATATCACGAATAAATCTTGGAACTCCATTTCCTCTTGAATGACAACATCGTACGAGTTATCGCGCGACGTTTTCATGCAGAAGAGGAGGGAAGAGAGAAAGAGAGAGAGAGAGAGAGAGAGAGAAAGAGAACGTGAGCGATCTCTGGTATTTCCCATTTTCGCGTGCTATCGTCGCCAGTAGGTCGGTAAAACCTACGACAGGTGCTACGCAGGTGGACGATTGTTTCGGAAAGAATCGACATTGCATGTCTCGAATAAGCGATACACGAGAGGAAAAAGCAACGATCTTCTCTCTACAGCAAAGAGAAAAGAAACAGAGATGCGAAACAAAATAGAAATATCCCGCGTGATATTTTGAATTATTTTTCTAATTAGTTTAACTCGATACATATTTTATATATTTTCTAATATAACATATTGACAGAATTTATCAGTTATTTTTCGCTTTAGTAGTAAATCTTTTTGGTAAATTTTTTCTCTTTTGAAGAGTCTAACAAGTGATTAATGAGAAACGAAACAGAAATATCCCGTGTGAATTTTTGAATTATTTCTTGTTGATCTAACTTAATATATTTTTTATATATTTTCTAATATAACTTATTGATAAGATTTATCAATTATTCTTCGTTTTAGTAGTAAATCGCGTTGATAAAATTTTGTCTCTTTTGAAGTGTCTAACAAATGATTAATGGGAGCTAGGAGTCTAACGAATGAATAATGTTTGCTTTGGAAAATTTATAGAGTTCACTTTCTTTATATATTTACATACGTATATATTTATTGACATCAAATCAAATTGAGTTCGTTTAAGTTCTAAGTAATGCTGAGGACGGTAAGCATTTTCTTAGTACAAAAAGATTTTCAACAAGTTATGAAGGCAACTTTAGTCGACAAACGTTATTTATAATAACATTTGTCAAGATAAAATTCAATTATAAATAATATAATTGTATAAAATAATGTATAGTTTGGTGAAGTACTGCATTTTTATTATCATTAATTATTTTTCCTCCGTCTGCATTTAAATCGATATCTCTATCTTAACACCGTCGCAAATGAGAAATATCGGAATTATCTTATCGGAAATTAATAAAGTCTGACACACGTTAAACAGTCGTGGCACGTTGACAGCGATCGAAAGTCCTTTATCGGCGAGCGAAAGAGGGTTCGCATTCGCGGTCGGCTCGTCTACGATGGGAAGCGTTGCCACAGTATCCGTCGCATGGCTGTAAACGTATCGCGCAAAACTTTTGCCTTTGCAATCTCTCGATCCCGTTGTCCGTGTATCTCAATATAGTTGACTGTATGAACCTTGACCCGAAATTGCTTTCCACGTGTCACCAGTTTGTCGTCTCGGGGTCTATCACTGTGGTTTCGGACATTTATTATCTCGAACGACTTTTATATGTAAATGAAATCAAGCAAACCCTTTATCAAAATTGAAAAAAATAGATTTCTAAAATCAGCTGAGAACTCTATTAAATTTCAGCATTAAGTATAACACAAATTAACAAATATTAATTTTTATAAATATATTTATAAAATTTATATAAAATACCAAGTAGTTATATATATATATATATATATATATATATATATATTTATATCTGCTTTTATAAATTCTTACACATAAGTTAAATAACTTACTTAGTCTTAATTATTAATTTATAAATATTTTTCTGCTTAATTTTAATTATAAAATTGATATTTCAAATATTTGGCTGAAGTGTATTTGAGAGTTTTGAGACATGAGAGAAATATTATTTTATACTTTATATATTTGATATACTTTTTTTATATCAAAATTCGAAAAAAGGTTTTAAAAAATATTTATATATTTTCCATTTTTTAACGATATTTTGGACACTATCGTTCGCTTTATATGCAGTGAAATAAATTTCATGGCATTTTAATTCTATTCTTAATACAAAATTCAAATATAATCAAAAGTAGAGCTTGTGTGTGTATGCGTTGTGTGTGCGCGCGCGCACGATTTTTGTACAAATAAAATTTATCTCTTTTGTATTCAATATTTGAGTTTCAATACGAATGCGATAAGAATGGCGATTGAAAATAATTTTAAACTTGCGACAACAGCTTGAAATATCATTAATGTTAATTGCCACGTATAATTACATTCGGAATTAAGCGATTAACAAGTGATCGTAATAAATAATGAGTGATTGTAATATTAATTGACATTTTCCTGCGCACGTTTGCACCAAATGATGCGAGAATCGACGGAGTATCGAGAAGAGGGAATTTCCATCGCATGAAAATTCTTCCCAATCCACAACACTCGAAACATCTCTTTCCACCGATGTACTTAGTGTCATTCGTTTTTTCACTTTTTCATCGCAATTTCGTCCGTTTGCGACAGAATTCTCCGCTAAAATCGGCTGCCCCAAGGACGCTTAATTTTAGAGTTTCTCTCTCTCTTTCTCTCTCTCTCTCTCTCTCTCTCTCTCTCTCTCTCTCTTCCTCTCTAATCAATAAGCGTGAGCAGAATTTTTTTACACCGTTTTATAAATAGAAACTTCTATCAACGTAACCTTAGTATATCGCATGCGACAAAT